TTTTAAGATGTTGCTTTTCTTAGAAAATTATAATTCTCGTTTTTGCCCACCCGCTTTTAAATACCCAAACTGATTACCTCAATAGAAAGCTGACCAGATACAGGCGCTTCTATGCCTCCGTGGGCTTTTCATCTCTACTATCAAACTTTTCACTTTGGTGATTCTTGCTCTTTTTATGAATATTCTTCCTATCCAATGACGCATGATCTATCGAACGAGAATTCAAACCACAAATCCTTCATTTTATGCTAGCAGAGGTTGGTAATATTGCCTTGTTCAATGATTATGAAATGCACACTGGGCATAACGATTATTATCATCAGTATTGTTCCAAAAATGTCAAGATGGATGATGCCACTACTATAGCCATGCAACGCCAAAACCGTATACATCCGTATTCAGTTTTTCAGAATGCCCTTTTAAAGTTGCATGCAAAAGTAAGGTCGTAAGTAGTTGCTAATCAAAAGACCCCTTGCTCGCGTATGCAGGTGTTTTCTCCTACGAGCTTTTGGACGTGCTCAAAACGCGGAGGAGAACAGTGAACAAAATAGTAACCACGGACCAATCATACGGTTGACCTTGACTGGCAACAACCAACCACGATTTTTTTACATTGCTTCAGCAACTGGCTTTTGGGCATTATTGACCACAATTCAGGAACCAACAGAGCTGACAGTTCTCTTTTGGATCTTGCTTCAGCTTTACTTTACAGCTTATGAGGAATTCTGCAATTGTAAGTACACGATTCAGTGTTTAAGGAATCCGTACCACAGTCTGCATCACTAATAAAAATTGAAAAGACATTACGGTATGGTATTCATGTGTAAATTTCCACTGCAGACGGTTGTGAACACCCAGTCATGCTTTGCTGTCTGGTCTGCTATGTGCCTTTGGGTGTGATCTTTGGCCATTTTTCTAAACTATCGGCTCCATGAATTGAAGCTCTTGCAGCAACACCACTGTTCTGCCATTGCCTGATGAGAGAACAATCACTCCGCCAAGCCCACTCTTAAAGCATATTTGCCCTTCCAGTTTTCTACTTGCAAGGTCTTATCCCCTTGGCCATTACCAGAGTCCAAGTATGATGGAACACACTTCTTTGTATTATTTGCAGTACTGTGTGGTTGACAGGTGCAAATGTCCGAACTCCAAATAAAGTAGATAGAAAACAAGTTGACGGTGTATGCAACTATTGGCTCGAAATTCATATGGCTGTAGAGATTTTACTACCGCAAGCAACTACTAGACGGGACGGATTCCGCGCAGCTCATATCAACTTCTATATCCCATAGTGGC